ACAACAAAGACGGTTTCGTCCGCAAATGATGGAGGCGATCGAATCCGAGGTCAAGAAGCTTATTGACTCGGGCTTCGTTCGAGAGGAGCAACATCCAGAATGGCTAGCCAATATTGTCCCAGTCCTTAAGAAGAACGGGAAAGTCAGGATTTGTATCGACTTTCGGGATCTCAACACTGCTTGCCCAAAAGATGATTTTCCCCTCCCCATCACGGATGTCATCATCGACAATACGTGTGGGTTCGAGAGGATGTCTTTCATGGATGGTTTCTCTGGTTATAACCAGATAAAGATGCATCCGGATGATGAAAAGCACACCGCATTCAGAACGCCCCTCGGTGTCTTCTGTTACACAGTTATGCCCTTCGGCTTAAAGAACGCAGGTGCTACATATCAACGAGCTATGTCAAAGATCTTTCAGGATCATCTCCGAAAGACTGTTGAATGCTACGTAGATGATCTGGTCGTGAAAAGTCGTGATAAAAAGGATCACATCAAAGACTTAAAGACCATGTTCGACTTAATGCGAGCCCATCAGTTGAAGATGAATCCTACCAAGTCTTTCCTCGGAATGTCGAGTGGAAAATTCCTGGGATTCGTCGTCACCACCAAAGGTATCCACATCGATCCTGATAAGGTAAAGGCGATCAATGAATTACAACCTCCGAGAAACCTCAGGGAGCTCAGAGGATTGCAGGGGCGATTGGCTTATATCCGTCGGTTCATTTCGAACCTCTCAGGAAAATGCCAGCCATTCTCCAAGCTCGCAAAGAAGGGCGTATCATTTGTATGGGATGAAGCTTGTCAGAAAGCATTCGAGAGCATTAAAGAATATCTCTCAAAACCTCCCGTACTCGTTGCACCGAAATCGGGCAAACCGTTCTTGATTTATGTCAAGGCGACGAGCCATTCATTAAGTGCATTGCTTGCACAAGATGACGATAACGGTCACGAGCAGGCAGTGTATTACTTGAGCCGAACCATGGTGGGCGCCGAGTCTCGATATCCTATGATTGAGAGGGAATGCCTCGCCTTGGTGTTCGCCATTCAGAAGATGCGACATTATCTGGTCGGGCAGACCATTTACGTCATCTCTAAAGTTAATCCGGTTCGAGTATTCATGACTCAACCCGCTTCCATGAGCTGGCGGTTAGCAAAATGGGCCTTACTCTTGTCCCAATACGACTTGCATTTCAAGCAACAGAAGTCGGTCAAAGGACAGGCCATATGCGATCTCCTCGCAGCTAATCCAACTACGGATCCTGCCGAGATATACGACGACCTACCTGATGAAACCCACGAGGTCAACGCAACTTCACACCAACAAGTGTGGCGTTTATACTTCGATGGCGCCTCTCGAGCAGCTCTTGTCACAGATACTCCTGGACGTTCTAAGGTCTCCTCCGGGGTTGGAGTGGTCTTAGTTTCCCCAGGAAAACACGTGATGCCCCGAGCCTATTCATTAACCAAGCCATGTTCAAATAATGTGGCAGAGTATAATGCACTGATTATTGGACTCAACTTCGCTAAGGAGCTGGGGGTTGAGTATCTCGAAGCCTTCGGCGATTCTCAACTAATAGTCAAGCAAGTCCAAGGAGAATATGAAGTCCGAAGTCAGGATTTAATTCCATACCATAAGATGGCAGTGGAGATAGCGGAATCATTTGAAGGATTCTTCATCGAACATATTCCACGGCTACAGAATACCTATGCAGATGCGTTGGCCGCATTGGCCGTGTCACTAGCGCAGCCTCCCGAAACAGAGCAGTTTGTTACGGTAAGAACTCACCAACTCCTAGTGCCGCTTTACAGTGAAGATGCCGAGGAAGAAGAAGTTCAAGAGGTACACGCTACTCAAATCGAGTTCGAACCACGAGATTGGCGTTTCCCCATCATCGACTACGTCTTGCATGGAATCTTGCCAGAAGATGTGAAGGAAAGAGAGTCAATCCGGCGAAGAGCACCCAGATTCTACTACAATACAGAGAATCGAACGCTATACCGCAGGGGGTACGATGGGCTGATATTGCGTTGCCTATCAACCAAAGAAGCCCAAGAAGTGCTTAGAGAGGCACATGAAGGGGAGTGTGGCGCGCACGAGCCTGGCCCCAAGCTTTATGATCGCATCAGAAGAATGGGATATTTCTGGCCTCACATGATGAGCGAAGCAATCACATATGCCCGGAAGTGTCATGCGTGTCAAGTACATGCGAATTATATGCACCAACCTCCGGAGCATCTGCATCCCTCGGTAACATCTTGGCCGTTCGAGACTTGGGGAATGGACATTGTTGGTCCTATAAATCCCCCTTCGATCAAAGGCGACCGGTTCATCCTGGCGATTACCGATTACTTCTCCAAATGGGCTGAAGCAATTCCACTCAGAGAAGTTAAGACGAGCAACGTCATTGGATTCATCAAGCACCACATCATTTACAGGCATGGTGTTCCAAGACGAATCATACATGACAATGGTCCTCAGTTTGTCAGCAACGCCTTCATAAGGTTCTGCGAAAAATTCAAAATTCAGGACATCTCATCAACGGCTTATAATCCCACAGCAAATGGATTAGCTGAAGCCTTCAACAAGACTATCATAAAACTTTTGTCAAAGCTTGTGAAAAGTAACAAGCGAGATTGGGATGACAAGCTCGGTGCAGCACTATGGGCCTATCGTACCACGGTACGTACACCAACCGGTGCAACCCCGTATTCATTAGTATATGGATGTGAAGCCGTTCTCCCTTTGGAAGTTCAAATTCCATCTCTTCGGATCGCCCTTACAACCCAAATGACGACCGAAGAACAGCATCAAAAGCGCCTCGAAGAACTCGAGATGCTCGATGAAAAGCGCCTGGAGGCTCAACAGCATATCGAGTTCTACCAAGCCAGAATTTCTCGAGCCTTCGACAAAAAGGTTCGACAAAGGAGTTTTAAGGAAGGGGATTTGGTCTTAACTGAAAGACATCCTATGAACCTGAGCTCCAAGAAGAAGGGCAAGTTCGAGCCCAAATGGGAAGGACCGTTCGTAGTAGAAACAGTCTACTCAAACGGCGCCTATCGCCTAGTCACCAAAGATGGTGATCGGCTGATGATGCCAATAAATGGCAAATTCCTGAAGAGGTACTATCCTTAGCACCTTTCAGAAGGAGCTGATGTATCGGGAAGTTCCCGGAAGAATACCACATTGGGGTATTCTTAGGGATAACCTGGTCGGTATAAGAGAGATGAACAAGAAGTCCACATTCGAACCCCGAATGTTCTAGTTTGTCAGACTCTAACCCTCATCAGATGAGATCCAATCATTCGAGGGATTAATTTTCCCTCACAAAACTTTCATTGGTGTTCGATTACTCATAGTCTTCGCCACACATTCCTCACTCGGTCAAACCTTACGACAGTTAGGACCAAAGCCAAAGTCCCCTCTCGATTCCTTCAACGAACGAGAGGTCCACAAATCGGGCGGTCAAACTTTCACGTAGTTGTGATCGTTCCAAATTTCCCACTTGGTCAAACCTTACGACAGTTAGGACCAAAGCCAAAGTCCCCTCTCGATTCCTTCAATGAACGAGAGGTCCACTTTCAAACTCCCGAATGACCAAACCTTACGACAGTTAGGGTCATCTCGAACCCTCGCTTAGTCACAACTTACCCTGGTCGAGACTAAGACCGAGTCATCTTTTGTTCAAATGACCAAACCTTACGACAGTTAGGGTCGTTTGAACTTTCCGATTCTCGGAGTGGAGATCCCACTTCTAGTTTCATCCTGCGGATTCTGGAGGTGGAGATCCCACCTCGAGTTTCCCTCTTTTGCTGGAGATAGAATATAAAATTCTTCCTCTCCAGTTCTGAAGATAGAATATAAAATTCTTCCTCTTCAGAGTCAAATGACCAAACCTTACGACAGTTAGGGTCGTTTGAGCCTTTCGGATTCTGGGGGTGTGCCACCTCGAGTTTCCTTTCCAGCTGAAGATAGAATATAAAATTCTTCCTCTTCAGAGTCAAATGACCAAACCTTACGACAGTTAGGGTCGTTTGAGCCTTTCGGATTCTGGGGGTGTGCCACCTCGAGTTTCCTTTCCACCGGGAGATAGAATATAAAATTCTTCCTCTCCTCGGACCTTTCCGATGCTCGGAGTGGCGACCCCACTCCCAGTTCATCATTCCGGGTGCTCGGAGTGGAGATCCCATTCCCAGTTCATCCTTCCAGATACTGGGGGTGGGGAATCCCACCTCAAGTTTCCTTTCCAGCGGGAGATAGAATATAAAATTCTTCCTCTCCTCGGACCTTTCCGATGCTCGGAGTGGCGACCCCACTCCCAGTTCATCATTCCGGGTGCTCGGAGTGGAGATCCCATTCCCAGTTCATCCTTCCAGATACTGGGGGTGGGGAATCCCACCTCAAGTTTCCTTTCCAGCGGGAGATAGAATATAAAATTCTTCCTCTCCTATTTTGACACAACTTTCAACTTCCAATCCGCGCACTTGGTGCGTGGGGAATTTTATCCCGAATCCTAAGTAGGGATAAGTCAACACCTAACACGTGTTGCCGGGTAGCCTATTCCCGTAACAAGGGCAAAGTCTACGTATTCGAAGTCGTAGCAGCAAGTCTAAGGGAGTTCATTCCTTTAGCACAACGTTACATACGGAACGGATTTCGATAATCCGCATGCTAGCCCGATTCAAACGGTGATCGGTAAAGGCACATCAAACCCGTTGAAGGCTGGGGGTTTGCCAAAAACCCCAAAGTCAACGCCTAACACGCGTTGCCGGGTAGTCTATTCCCGTGAGAAAGACGAAGCCTATGTATTCAAGATCATAGCACAAAGCCTCAGAGAGTTTACTCTCTCAGCACAACGTTACATGCGGAACGGATTTCGACAATCCGCATGCTAGCCCGATTCAAACGGTAATCGGTAAAGGCACCTCAAACCCGTTGATGGCTGGGGGTTTGCCAAAAATCCCATAAATCTGTCATTCGGAAGAGATACAGAGAAAACACAAAAGAAGCAAATGCGGATTTTCTATTAATAAATCAAGTCAAAAGCATACAACAAAAGCTCGTTAGTCCGAAGGCAACCGACGGCTAAGAATATGAGACTCTAAACCAGAGAGCCTGTCCATATAGTCCTGCTCGAACTCCGCCTGCAGGCTAGCTCGGACAGAATCTTCGGAACTGTTGAGAACCTCTGCGGCTTCGTGTCGTAGCTTCATCAACCCCTCCTGCACTGATCCCAGCCTGTCGAGTGTCCATTCACGAGAACGCTCCAACCCAACCAGTTCCTCAGAAATGGTAGCGGCAGATTCTTCGGCGCGTTCCAAGGCCTCCTTCAGTCTAGCTATCTCTGCACGAGTGGAATCTAAGGAGCTCACTAACTCAGCTCTGCTGGTGTCTTTCCTCGCCAGAGAGGCCATCAGCTGCTCGACAGTGCGCTCACGTGATCGAAGCTCGCTGCCAACGGAAGATCGCAGTTCATGCCACTGCGTCAACCTATCCTCCACCTGAGAAGATGCAAAAGAGGGAGCTCCACCAGCCTTCAACTCCCTCAGCTCTCGAATCTCTGACTCCAGGGCAGCGAAATCAGCTGTAAAGGAATCGGCCAAATCCGGATATCCCTCTTCCCTCATCATCATCATGTGACGGGAGAAGGAACGCCTGAACTGATCAAAAGAAGACCCTCTGTGCAGAAGCTTATCAATCACGCCGTTATAAAAGGCAGTAAAGAAGCCGAGGTCAGTGCGGAAGACATCCCCATCTGGATTGGTATCGGCCAAGAGAGCATGGACCTGCTCATATAGAGACGGTCGAGAACCTGCAAGCAGCAGTATGGGAGGTCAAGAAACTATTAAATACAATCGAAAAGACCCTAAGGGAAATTCGAGGTATACCTATACCGGCGGAAATCCCCTCGGGTTGGGGTTCGACAGGCTCCGAAGTAACGACAGGAATGCTCATGGAAGGTATATCAACCCTCGTGGGCAAGTCAGTCGTATTAGGCGAAGGCGGGAAAACACCCGAAGCTATAGCAGAATCAGGTACAGCGCCTGGTCATATAGTTGCACTTCTTTATTAGTCAAAATGGAGACTGAGACAAGCAAAGAAGAGAGGAAATTGGATATATACCTGTGGATGAATCACTCTCAAAGAGTGGTCTCACAGTCCCGGTGGGAGCTTGTTCAGCTAACATATCGGCTAACAGTCCAGAGTCAGGTCTCGGGAAGACCGGTGCAGGAACATATCCCTGCTCTTCGAAATCTGCAATAGGGGAGGCCCCATCCCCGTCTGGCCCTTCTGTCGCAACACCTGCAGCACCGGATGTAGGTATATCTGAAAATGAACCGGTGGGATCAACACCATCTGCCTGCCCAAGATCGATGTTCAGATCAATGCCCAGGGAGCCATCACGAAGGGCGTCGCACACCTGCTGCATGAAGCAGTCCATGTTGTCAGCCCCAGAGAATACCGGACCTGGTGGAAGCTCGCCCTCCTCGAAGAACCCTGAATTATGAAACAGGATCAGGGATCCCGGAAGGTAAATCATCTTAAAGCAATAAAAGTGGGTACAACAAAATGTTACCTTCCTCCCCGTCGGCAAAGCCTCCTGAATCTACCCCATGGGAGCGCTGATCAACATGAGGTTTATGGGCAATCTTTTTCCTTTTCGAAGGATCACCCCTCATAGAACCAACGGGGCGGTCATGCGAAGTTTGGCCACCAAACTTGGATTTCGCACGACGGGAAGCGAGCGACCCATGGTCGTCGGCTACCCCACCTGAAACAACAAGAATCATCTCATGAACCAGATCTTTCGCCAATACCAATTGAAGTCGAGAAAGAGGATCAAAGAGCATGACAAACCTGTATCAAGTTCTGCTTGGTCGGTATCTATATCTGCATACTCCCCTTCGGGAATTCCGGTGGACTTCTTCCTCTGTCTCTGAGCAGGCTCAGCCCTGCGAGCAGCCATCATAGCAGATTGAACCAAGTGATCGGATTCTAGTTCCGAAAGACTCCTCACACTTATGGATTCATCGGCAGAGAGGAACCATTTACAGCTGAGGAAGGTAATCATCGGCTTGCGTTTATAGGAGGGAAGAGCAAACTGAGCCCCGGTGCAGCCAACCATGGTCCATAACCACGCCCGTACGCCGTCAACGAGTCCTCCCTCAACACGCAAACTACGACTCGGATTCCCAACGTATAGTTGGTCATAGCCAAACTGACGTGCGAAACGGCAGGGAAGGTAAGGCTCTATGTGGCAGCGGTCCTTCACCCGGAGAACAAGATACCCGACTCGGATGTTCACCAACCAGCGGAAACAACCGACGTCGAGAGCAGTCCGGTTAGTTCGGGGTTTCTCCATATCAGTCAACTCCTCGCCATAACGTCCCGAAAAGCGAGGGAAGCATTTGAAGAACTCCCAGTTCCTGCGAACTCGAAGTTCTTTTTGTACATCTTCAAATTTCTTCCCAACCCATCTACTCTCCTCCAACAGCTGTAGGAAAGGAACGGGAACATCAACGGCGCTGGGCGCCGACATCAAGTCCGGACGGTGAAGAACGAACCACGCCATCAAATAAGCGTAGGGCAGCTCAACCTTCGGGCAGGTAAGCTCAGTCGAGGGTTTAGAACCCACTTGGGTAAGAACACGAACTACACCCCTAAGCCCGCAATGGATGCTGGCAACCATCGCTGGAAGCAGAGAAAGCTCCCTCCCATAAGCTAGCTGGACCGCAGGGAAGAGCACCTCGAGGGGTAGAGCGTCTGAAGACTGATATGGAACAACACACTTCTTCAGCCAAAGAGCAAGGTAGCCAGCTAACAGAGACCGAGGATCGATAGACTTCTGGGCATGATAGAGGAACGATCGAAACTTAGTCCCGGCCGGAAAAGCCCCCTCGGCACTAGCAATGGTATAAGAATGAGTTTCATTCTTCTCCATCAGCTCATTAATAGCGGCAGGGGTCAAAACGCCTAACTCATGTATGGACTCCTCGGAATCATCCTCCAAGTTAGGAAACAGGTAAACAGCAAACTGCTTCAAGCTGATCTTCCTCTTCGTCTTCGCTGGAGGAGAACTCTGGAGCAAACAGGTGTGATAATGACAGGTGAGGTCCCAGAGAGTGTCATACACATCGGGAGTATCCTTCTTCAAACACTCCAACTGTTGGTTAGAAGGGAAGTATTCCTGATACGGGCAAGCTCGGCCCCCGAGCCACCCTAGGGTGGCTCGGCTTGGGCCGAGCCACCTTAGGGTGGTTCGGTTCGGGCCGAGTTCCCCCAGGTGCGCTGGTTTTGTCGTTTTCCGTTGTTTCCGGTTGTTTTGTCCGTTGTTCGGTTGTTTTGTTGATTTGTTGACTTGATTCCGGATTTGGCAGTAAACTCAGTCGGTGTTTGAGTTCAAATCCACTTTGTTGGAAGACCCGTCGACTCCCCGAACCACTAACGTTGTTCACATGCAGTTCGTTAGCTTTGTAGCCTCTTTAGTTCGTTTCGTTGCTTGAACGTTCGTCGATTTGTCGAATCATCGCGCCGAGCTGTGTCAAGGGACCTATAAGCAGTTTTATACGCCTACAGATACCCCCTCCAAAGCTTTTCAGCCTCGTTCTTTTATAGAAGAGTCTGGAATGCTTTGGATATGATTGCCCCTACCCTTTGTCGGTGTAACGGGACCTGGAAATGACTTTTGTTCTGTATTCCTTCAATCCTTCGGGCCATTCAGTGCTTTGTAGAATGCCTGTAGGGGTTCCGGTGCTGCATTTATTGTCTGACCGTTGTTGGAATTTGAACTTTGAAGTCGATTCCTGATTTTTTCAATCTTTAACTCGTGTTGGTTGGTTCGACGTGCAACTAACGCTCGATTGTCGGTGTTGAATCCTCACTTGTGACACGTTGTCCGACGTCGTGTTATTGAGTTATCCTTAAGAATATTTTTAGAAAAATATTCTCCAGGAACTTCTCAACAACAATAGGAAATAGTTTATACTCGTATACCTTATTGGAGTATTTCCGTGCTCAAATGATCAGAACCGGTCCAAAGATGTCTCAAAAAAGGCAGTATTTGGGCTCAAAATCTTTCTGACCCTTCCCAATATGTGGGAGAGGGGTTAACTAGGTGAGGGATCGAACCATTGATTGATCTGAATTCGTTTCGATGCTTAATTTAGCTCCAATTTGAATTCTGGTTCGAATTTGGTTCAAACTGGTTCGAAATTGACCCAAACTGGTCCAATCTAACTCAATCTGGTTCAATCTGGCCTATTCTGGCTCACTCTGGTCTGGTCTAGTCCAGCCAGGTTCAATCTGGTTCAATTGGGCTCATTCTGGCTCAATTTGGCTCATTCTGGCTCAGTCTGGTCCAATTTGGCTTGGTCTGGTTCAGTCTGGTCTGGTCTGGTTCAGCCAGATCTGGTTTAAGGCTATAAAAGAGGGTTTTTTGGCTTCTTTTTTCTTCTCTTCCTCCTCTCTTCTAGGGCCGGCCCCCCCCTCTTCCTCCTTTTTGAGTTTTCTCTTCCCTCGAGCGTCTTTTCTCCTCGAAACTTTGATATTTATCCGAGATCTGGGTTTCCTTTTGATCTTTGACTGAGAGATCCTTCAAAAAATCATTTTTTAGAATTCCTCTCAGACCCCTCGAGCACGTGGTGAAAGTTTCCTAAAAGGTCTCATCTTCGTTGGATCTCGAGCCTTTCTTCAGGTAAATCTTCCACAATTTGGATCTTTTTCATGCTCAATTTAATTCATGCATTTGTGGGGTTATATGTGAGGGTTGAGGGTGTGATTTGATGCCTCGAGCTAATCTTTCAGGGGGGTAAAAATGCAATTTTGAGGGGTTTTTATGCAAAAATTAGGGCTGAAATTATTTTTTGAATCTAACCCTTTGAGTTATTTTGCAGGCCGTCATGTCTCGCGCCTCGAGAGGTCGTTCCCCTGCCATGTCGGTTGATGGCGCGCCTCCCTCTTATGCTGGTGAGCTACTTTTTGCAAATAAACCCTTTTTTCTTATAAATTTGTAAATTGACCCTTTTTTAAACCCCACGTTGTTCTCCTTGGCGAGGCAATCGGGAAGAGCCTTGATTCTCCTTGGTGAGGATCGACGCTTCAAAGATATGTTTTGCTTGGTCAAAACCATATCTCAAAATTAAAGGGGGCGATTTGACACTACATTGCGTTTTATAAGGCAGGGATATGTTGTCGACATACCCTGTTTTGTGATTGCACAATGTGGCCAAATCGTCTCACCCTTTATAAGGCAATGACTCTATCTTAGCTATTTGTAAGATGAGTTCAATTTCCTTTTATAATCGAGACTAACCAGTGTTTAACTGTCTATTTTGCAGTGGGGTACCCTTCTGGATCATTCCCGTCCCACGCAATATATGGACGGCGTGGCGAGCATTATTCGAACTCCAACGATCCTTCCCCTATTCCAGCTACCCCTCAGTTTGCTTCGGACACGTCGACTGAGGTTGCCCAAGTGGTGAGGGAAGGTGGTCATCGAGCTATTCGCCAGCTAATCACAGATGCGCCTTTTGTGAAGGACGCCAGCTCTACTCAGCCTCTTCGAAAGAGCGATTTCCTATTTGGTGATTCTGTCGATGACCCAGAAGCCGTATTCATTGGTGCTGAGCATTGGCTTCACAAGACCGGCAATGGCTTCATATACTTGCCGGAGATTCCTCGGCATCGTTCATTGACTGAGCTCAGATGTCAGGCTGTGACACGGGAGATGTCGTGGCGCTTGACAGAGGATCATATGAGTGTCCATTGCGGCTATATCACTCATTCGGCGGTTCCTGGTTCGTGCAGAAGTCGTGTTACCGGATTGCGTCCTGGTGTATTGGGGCTGGACGAACCACCACGTAACGAGTTCCTTGCTACCGCTTCCACCTTGAGGAATCGTCTCGCTGTTCTGGGACGGGAGATGCCAGCGACACGTCACAGGTTTTACGGTTGGGTCCACTCTTCGGACAAGTCTTGGTGGAGCCGCATGACGACATACGTCTTGAGCCGATGGGGCGAGGAGTTGCATGCTTGCGGTTTGTATGCAGCCGTTCGTGCCACCGTGTATGGCTTGCCTATCAGTTTGAGACATTTCTGTGCTTTGTTCGAGCTATATAATCCAGACTCGAACACTTTTCTGACCCGGCAGGGGGAGTTAGGCTTGGCTCTTCACGAGATGCACAGGATTTCTGGCTTGTCCATGGGACAGATGCTATACCAGGAGTACTTTCCTTCCAGTCATGAGTTGAGCCAATTAAAAGATCGCATGCCTGACCGTTATGAGACTCTATGGGACCTCACTTGTCATTACCATATTGCTTTGGCACAGTCGGAGCCCTTAGCAAAGAGGACCAAGGTATGTGTGAGTCTGAAACAATTTGCGAACTACTTGTTCAAGAATCTGGAGAGCACTCATGGCGAGGATATTTGTGAGCTGGCCCCATTCACTCCTTCAGAGGTGAACAGTCTACTGAAGAAGATCGGCGCTCAATCTTACACCACCGGCGGTCCTGAGGGTGGCTTTCCTGCGAAGACCAAGTTCAAGTCATTCTTGTGGCACGCTACCGCACCAATTCGACCAATGACACTTCTTGCTGGCTTTCTTGCTATCTGGTTGAAAAAGTGCGTGGTTCCATATCAGTCTGGCGACGCCTTGCCCTTGGAGGTACTTTACCCAGCAGTTCAGCTCGCCTATAAGAAGGAACTCTCACTTCTTCCGGTGATGGTGGCTAATATTCACCGAGGACTTCGACAGCTTTCCAGTGCGTTCACACGGAAGGAGACCGATTTACCAGGTCAGATTCCCACGCTTAAGGTGGAGCTCCCGTACGCTTATCTGATGGCCTGGTTTGTCCTTCATCGCTCGGATATGATGTCGGTGCCGAACGCCACAGACCATTCTGTTCCCCTGCTACAGTTGCTTGAGAATGGCAGGTGGGAGGGCCGCGGATTTTCTGATGTCAGACAGCAGTTGCAGGTCCATAAGTGTTGGGCATTCTCTACTTGTTTTCCGCAGTTCTCCGGTCGATATGGTGAATGCTTGATAGATGATGAGAGGCCTAGAGAGTACCGGACTTATTTAGACATCGGCTGCTTCAACTGGCTAGTGAATATTAGGCCCGGCTATCTGACTTTCCGGGTGAGGGATCAGTGCTTCATCGAACCATATCTACCGTGCCGATTCGCTCGCCAGTTTGGCTATGACCAGCTTTACATTGGGAATCCTCGTCAGCAGCTTCGTACTCATAGTGGTTTGATAGACGGTCTCCGCGCTTGGTTGTGGACCGTGACTGGCTGTACTGGTGTTAGATTTAGTCTCCCGAGTGCTGACCGGCAGTTGAACCTTACTTTCTTGAGCTGCAAATGGTTGTTAGCAGCCAACAAGACTATCCCTGTGAAGCCAATCGCAGAGTTAGAGGCTGAGGCAGCTTCCCAGGTTGATTCCCGCAGGATTCGGGAAAACGCCCGGGCACAGAGGATACGGAACAAGACTCGTCGGATTGACGAAGAGGGACAGAGGACATTCCATTCCACAGACGAGGCTTCGGGCGGGGATCCCGAAGATTACGATGACTTTTCCGAGCGAGGTTTGCACTTCATCTTTTTCTTCTATCTTCCAGAAGTGTTGAAACTGACTATGGTTTGATGTTCCAGATACCACAGTTGATCAGGATGAAGATTTCCGTCCTCCTCCTCAGGCGAGACCTTCGATCCCTATTGCTAGGCGGAAGAGATTGGCCCGCAAACCTCGTGTAGCTTCACGAGCATCTGACATGGATCTGGCTGGAGATGACCCTATTAGTGACAGAGGTAACGTCTACTCTTTGAACCATTTTCTTGGTTATTCTGAACATTGACTCATGCTTTTCCATTTCTATATAGGAGTGCGTGGGGAGGATGAGATGAGTCCCGATCCTGTTCCCTTATCTCCCGATGAGTCTGACCCACTACCCCCTGTAGAGAAGTCTACAGGGGTTGCTGACATTAGGGAGGAGATCAGTGTAGGACCAGATTCTGTGAGTCAAGGTACATCTATCACTGACAGCGTATTTCTTTAGATAATACATTAATGAATTTGTGTATCCTCTAACTGTCCTCTACTCCTTGCTCCTTCAGATAATTTGCAGGAGGCGAACCTTGGAAACGAAGAGGCTGATGCACCCGTGAGAGGTA